GAGCTCTTGAATAAGCCACAGTGAAATTGTTCTACCCGTTTTAAGAGTTTGTACGATCAATTGTCAATGTAGCTATATTTGCATCCAGGCTGCATAAACTAGTGAAGGGTTGAATAGATAAGTGTGCGTTGGAACTTGCTTTGAGTAGTGTAGTGTAATACCCAAGTACAAGGTTGGACGCATACTGAAATACGAAGTTGGTGTTTGATTGTATGAGGAACTACCAGGACAGATAGCTAGTATGTGCTAATCGTGCAAGCTATAGAACTTCTGAGGGGAGCATAGTAGTTGAGGGGGAGCATAGTAGCTGAGGGGAAGCATAGTAGTTGAGGGGGAGCACAGTAGCTGAGGGGAAGCATGGTAGCTGAGGGGAGCATAATAGCTGAGGGGAAGCATGGTAGCTGAGGCGGAACATAGAAGCGGAGGGTATGAATACTGATTATGGATAGATATGTACTTACAAAATGTACTACTTACTACCCTGGACGATCTCGTCACCAGCAAGTGGACGACTCCAGCTTATACATTTCAACTCCTACCGTACGTGAAGCGACTTGGTGACCCAAAGGCAACTTACAGTTAATCTGTGGCTACGGTACTTTTTACCTACATCTTACTGCTGTATACAGTCACATACATCAATGGCTCCCTGCAGGAACTATTTTGTCCTGCTACAGTACCAGTACTTGTAGGTGGCTGGCAAGTTAAGTTAGAGAAATTAGGATTGCTGCTTGATGTGTGGTGCGACCAGCAAAAGGAATTGATTGATTTCAAGAAAAATATAAATTTACTCAGGGGTTCGAACCAGCGATCCAATCACAGCTTCTAACCAGTGAGCTAATCGTGTTTCCAGCTCGGGGAACGCCGCCGTTGCGTACCGTCGGGTGCAGTCGAGTTGGGCCTTAGACTTGCCATTGGTTCGTTCAATGATCTTGGCTTCCTTGAGACGTAGTGCTCGAATGGCGGACTCGCTGACAACGTACTGCTTCGCGACCCGTCGATTGGAAGGCGCCGTGTTTGCGAAGACGGGAGCAGAAAAGAGACCGAGTATTTTGCAGGCGCTCCGTGTCCGTGAGTCGTTTTCCTTCGCCGCGCTTGCGAGTAGCGTTGAGGGTGGACATGACCGGAAAATGTATGGTCGTGTCAACGCTGTCGATTGCCTCGGCGAACGCTGGCTTGGAACCACTCGAAAATATCCATTTTTGTCCTCTTAAATTGCTTGATTTGAATAAAATTACGTAATTTTATCCAATAATAATATACATTTTTCAAAGTGTGCGACACACCAAAGTGGCTACAAACTCCCGCGGGGTGTGCGCATTTAATCGCGAGAACACTGTAGTCGCTGAATAATAAACCATTTCACGAGTTTAATGAGCTACGCTTTTACTACGTAGTACTACTGTACTAGTACTATTCTGTGCTGGAAATTTGGCCTATTAATGGTACTTCGAAGTGTACTACGCAGTTCTACCGTTACTAACGTTAATACGATAATTCCGTCATCCACTGCAGAATCATCAACAATCGCCGTTCATCTGTATGCACATGATTAATTGGGTTTGGATTATCATTTTTAAGACATTCCTCCACGAGGGCCGACACTAGAACCACATGTTATGGAACCGCTTCGCCAATTGTAACGCGCCTGCTCGACCAGGGGCGGTGTGTAATCTTCTGTGTTTACTTCGCTCAACCCTTCATAACTCGTGCTTCGACCGATCTTCTTCGAAGTTCGGTCCTCGTCTTCGTACGCCACCCTTGTTATCCGGATTCCCCAGGGGAGGGATGGATAAATCCTTGCGGAAATAATCCGGGGAATCCGGGGATCGAACCCACGACCTTTGAGTTAAGAAACCGATGCTCTACAACCTGAGCTATTCCCCCCCCTGTCTGTACGCACATGAATGACTTCCACCTCGCGATAAAGATGCCCTAGCAGGAATAACTACAGTAATAGTTATTAATACATGTACGCTTACTCAGCCAAACGTCAATTAACGGTTGGTGAGAAATACTTAACCAGGCTTACTTAGTGTAGACGTCTAGGGATCACCCTAATGTCATAGTGGTCGGGGTTCGATTCCCCGAACAACGATTCTTTTTCCTGAAATGTACAGTACCTTCACACTATAAAACAATATCGTGTTTTACTGTACTCCAGATTCACCTACTACAGTAGTACCTGCAACTACGTCGATAATTTTGACCACGACATAGTGAACACCCACATGCAACTACGTCGGAGATTACGTCGCTTTGACAAACTCAATACGGGGGAAGCGCGGTTGGCCCAACCAATTTGTATGACCAAGTCACTCATGAAATTTGATTGACGTTGCGAATCTACCGGTGGAAGTACAGTACTATAGACATTTTGAATGCCGTGCCGTGTCCTGCAAGTCTTCAAGACTAGACCTTGTTAAGCTTGCAATGTTGATTGATGTACCAGGCAACTGTACTGAAACGGGTCAGTCAGAAGGACATGGTGACGTTTAGGGATTCAGCGCTTGGCAAGGCAAGCAGCGTCAAAAAGGATTCACCTTTTGACGCTTTTCATGTTCACTGTCAGTGCTTGGCAAGGCAACAACGGGTGCACGTTTTGACGCTTGCCATGCCACGACTAAAAAGGACACACCACCACGACGAGGCAAGTTGGGGCAGAGAATACGGTGCAAGCTGTAACGCATTTTGGTAGCTACTACAGTACTGTAATGCTCTTGTGTGTTTAAGATCGAACGCAAGGACGAGGGGACGAGGTTGTCGTGAGAGGAGTTTGCATCTACAGTGCAAGTACTGTTGAGATTCTCATGCACAGGGGTAGACGAGGGGGTACATACTATTACAGTAATACCGGTACCAACGTTACAGCATTCGGTAGCACTGGCAATAACTACCTACTGTAGTACCACCTAGTAGTACCACTGTAGTAGTCGTTCAATTGGAAATGAGTGATGTCGCACATAGACAACGGATGAATCTGATGTATCCATGGCCTCTGGACCAATTACACAGTTTACACATGGCCAATGGCCACTATCGGTGGGACACTCCTCCAGTCAGGTTGGCAGTTGTGGAGGGTCGTGACTGGTGTGTTTCAAATCATTGGCAGTCGCATACTACGGCGTTGCACACACCCCGCCCATTATGCAAAAAACGTTACAGTGGAACTCTAAGTCAACACACGTACATATTCTACTTCCGAGATCATCACTGAAGTGCGAGCCAACGTTACACTTGAAAGCATGACCACCGCAACCTTCCCCCTCGTCGGGTGGCACGTCCCCGCCCCAATGTTCTTCCCGTGGAAGACGGCAGAGTTCCTGCCGCCCCTCGCCACGTCGGCCACGAAACACTCGAAATGCATCACGTTCACCACGGCCACGACCTACTTCTTTGACGTCGACTGCGGGGGAAGCGCCGTGCCAAGCGACGACGGCCCACCCCTTGGACTCGCCAAGACACACACCACACTAGAGTGCCATGACATTTACTCCCAAGTCCCCATGGCCAGACCTAGACACGTACGATGGTATGACCACGTGGAGCGCATGCTGTTGCTGCAGCATGCAGGGTACAGTCGAAAGCAAGTGGCGATGTGTTGCTTTGAAGGCATTGCCATTCGCAAGTCAAGGCTAGCGTCGAACGAAAACGCAAACGTTGAGCCTTGGGAAGTTGTAGTTGAGGAGGCCCCAGTGCTCAAACGAAATAAGTTTGTACGGTAAAAGTCGTAATTATGTACAGTTTTGGTTTTGCTTGTCGTGTACTAGTAGTAAGACTTGAGCACGAGTCAATGCAGTCCGCATAGATGACCGGTTTGATATATGGTGTCAACGAAATACCAATGGAAGCCGAACTCTCGACGTGCTAGTCATTAGAACGGTGCATGGCTTCATGGGGATGTGGTAAGCTTAGTACTGGTACAGTAGTTGTTGCGATCCTTCGCTCTAACAGGATGATACAGTACGCATGGTGAGACCTTCATTTTAAACATGGTGTAACGTGATAGGTTTTGGTCCGCTGAAGTCAAGATGCGAAAATTTGAATTTTGATGTGACATGATTGATATCAACGACGGCAATCAAACGCAATTGTAGTCGTCACTTCCATACTATACGTATAATAAGCCCTTCATTTCGCAGCTGTGGCGACATTGGAGGCCACATTGGACACGGCTGCCATATGTATGGCTCTCGACGCGTTTCTGGTCTCGCCGTTTCATACCATATTGGCGATGGAGCCCCCTCCCCGTATTCTCTCGCAGTTGACAGCACCTTACTGGCTGGGGGCACATTGCAGCAACCGATCCCATGCAATCAAACGGACAGTCGAGACAAAACCCGTGACTGTACTGTGGTTAGGACGAACACTACGAAGTCATGCCCCCCCTCAATCCATGACATTTCAACATGAATTAGTTTGATGGCAACGAATAACTTTCGATGCACCTGCAAGTTGCACGAACTGTGTGGGGTACGCGTGCACTTGAAAAGCACGTCGAAGGGCGAGACACACTTTGACAACGTGCAGCTTTGGATGGTGTGAAGGTGGTGTCATAGCAAGAGGCTAATTCCTAAATGCATTGGTCAAATGGTGGGCCCTTGCCCTCGAGTTGTCGATGCATCGTCCATCCCAACAGTACTGTACAGTGAGTAGGCTTGATAGCAGAACCCGTCACTGTACTGTCACTTGATCCCACCGAATGTAATCGATGGCCACTTCAGCGATCACTGATTCTACTGTGCAGTAGAACAACGTGGCTCCGTCGCCTCCATTCTTCGTCCCCTACCAACAGAAACCAACAAACTCCACGGTTCAATTGCAAATCTTCAGCCGTCCATCATCCTTGACAATAATTATGCACTGAACGCTATGAGCTGTAAACGTTCGTTCCCATACATGTTCGCATTCGTCACGTGATATAACGTACATGTACAAGAGGACATGCTTGGCCCATCAACCTCGCACACACAGTAGCTAGCATCGGGAAGTGCAACATTTTATTCAGTTCCTATCTTTCTCCGTTTCACCTGCACATCGTCCCCTTCATCCTCCACAATCTCCTCGTCCTTGGACTCTAGCCTTGACTTGCGAATGGCAATGCCTTCAAAGCAACACATCGCCACTTGCTTTCGACTGTACCCTGCATGCTGCAGCAACAGCATGCGCTCCACGTGGTCATACCGTCGCACGCGTCTAGGTCTGGCCATGGGGACTTGGGAGTAAATGTCATGGCACTCTAGTGTGGTGTGTGTCTTGGCGAGCCCAAGGGGTGGGCCGTCGTCGCTTGGCACGGCGCTTCCCCCGCAGTCGACGTCAAAGAAGTAGGTCGTGGCCGTGGTGAACGTGATGCGTTTCGATTGTTTCGTGGCCGACGTGGCGAGGGGTGGCAGGAACTCTGCCGTCTTCCATGGGAGGAACATTGGGGCCGGGACGTGCCACGTGAGGGCCGTTGTTGTCATGTTTCCTTATCTCTTCGTGGCCGATTCGGTAATGAGTGCAACCAGCTGGCAGATATGTAGAACCCTAACCCGACTGGCCAATGGGATAAGTTATATTGCCACCACAGCGTTTG